TTCTAGAAGGCTAATTAAGTTGGAAGGAATTAGGTCTTCTAGAAGGCAAAGGAGATGGAGGACATAAAGTTTCCTAACCTTATATGGAAAAGCCTATATTTAGCACCTTCTCAAGGTCCATACTGTAGCCAATAAATACACCATGTTCCAATATCTCTACATGATACATGTTGGCCAGTTTTTAGGGCTTGAAAAAGAGAAGCAAATTGAGAGTTTTATATATATTGGGGGTTCTGGAGTTCTGTTTAATCATACCACCAAAATTATTCGATGTACGAGTATAAGGTCATACATTAGAAGATCTTAAGGTCCAACATATTTCGAGCATCCCGACGAATGTGTGTTCATCGAAAAGTTATTACAGCAAGTCCACATCCGCCAAAAACCGCAAAGCGCCGCACGGGCCCTTTATCAAAGACCTGCTCTCCCTGTCGCGCACAACCGTGCAAATCATTCATCGGCGATGCACCTCCCCAGTGAAGCCTTACCTGCAGCCGCGCGTCGCTCAGGCCCTATGTTCTTCGCGCGTAGTGACCCTTTGATCCCAGACGGCCCAAAAACCTCGGATGCACGTGACCGTGCATGCTATCCCACAGTGCCCAATGCGCAGAGTAGCCCTGCGCTTCGAGGCGACTCGCAGCCAGCGACGTAGCGTTAGATGTGCAACCCGACGCCTGTGAAACTGCATCATCCGACGTCTGCCAAACCGCACGACCTGACGCTTGTGAGACTTCAGCGCCTGACGCGCAAGGCTGTGACCTCAGTGCCCGATGCGTGGACCACCCGCAGCCAGCACCAGACGCGCACATGGTCTCAAGGTAGCGTCTGATGCGTGACTCGACTCGCATGACTCGATTGCATCCCAGAGACTCGTGATCAACCAATAAGGCCAAGTCCGGATGCCAATGGACTGTGCGGTTTAGAAGATCTCCTACAAAGGATATCTATAATGCTTAGAGTAGTTGGCAAAACTTTAAATGGTAATTTCTTAATCCTAACTATATATTTCACTGCTTTAGGATTTAATTCGTTAGATTCAAATGTGCATATCGATGACGTTTCTAATAGAGCCCAACAAGATTGAATCCGACACATCAACCAGTGATTGGAGGGGTTTGCTTTCAAAGTTAACCACAGTGGTAGTGGAGGGAAATGTTAGCAGCAGGTGTGTAGCATTTTAGGGCCTTTTATCCTATTTAGTGACGAGAGAATTCCACCCGGGCGTAGGAGTAGCTTTATTGCTGAGAAGTGAGCTTTGTTATCCATCAGAAGGAAAACACGAAGAGAGATTGGAAGGTTTGATGAAGAAGAAGTGGGGTTTTCAAGAAGAGACTGATAAGTCATATTAGTTTCTATATTAGAAAAAGGAAAGTTTTCTTGACGTATTAGTTGTCATGTTTTTTCATATTTTTGAAATCTTTTGTTTCTCTGTTAGAGGTGTTCTAAAAATCTATGTTTTTTTTAGCTTAATTGATTCTCCTTATTTTTCTAGGAAATATTAGATTGCGGGAAAATATGAATAATATAAGCAAATTTGAGGTAAGGGTGAGCACACCAGTTTCCTACAAGAGTTAAAAAAAAAAGAAAAAAAAAGTTGAAAAGAGAAGAAGAAGACAACATAGATTGTTTTGGTATATTTTCATAGAAAGAATGTTCTGTCATTAATTTTTACATATTTTCTAGTAGGATTACAACTAGATTGTTTATTTAAAAATAGATGTTAGAGATTTGTTTTGTTCATCTTTTCGAGAACATGACGCACACATTGAGCATATGAACATGATGATACTTGAAGTTGAAGCCACCATGTCCAACTTATTTCCTTATTCCAGTTCGAGGGAAGTTTTGAGCTCGTCTTTTTTGTCGTTTATGATTTAATATCGTAGCATATTCTTAACTTGAATATCTCAAATGTTATTTTGTGTTATTAAGTGTTTTATTTATTTATTAGAGGAAGATTGAACTTATCTATTGAGTTGTTCTAAATCTAGATCCCTTATATCGAGGTTGTGAATATAATATCTTGTCTATTCCATTAGTTTGGTTCTTAATGCGTCTAGTGACTTAGATTTCAAGAGCTTATTTCAACTCTCTCCATCCAGATCGGTTCAATAGCAGAGCTTGTTTTGCTTGAATAAGCTTAAAAAACAATTTAAGGTAACATAGCTTGTTATTGTCTTCATAATAGGGATTCGAGACCTCAGAGGAGGGACAAATCTTCCATTGAATCATAAATATAGTCGAGAACGGTTGATAAACGACCAGAGAACTAGACCTTTCTCAAAAATTGAACTCATATTCTATTCCTAGTTTTAGTCTAAATTATCTACTTTTTTTAGTACATAAATTGAATTGATCATTTAATTCGTTCTTTGTGTTTATTTCAAGTTAATTGATTATTTTAATAAACATGATATATTTTAAATGATGATCTGTGAGATCGATTCTTATTTGCCACTTCTACAAAATAGTTGAGATTTTAAGAAAAATCAAACATTAATTTTATGTTCCTCGACGGCACGGTAAGAGACATTGGAAGAAAGGTCTCGAAAAAAGTTTTTACTATTGCTAGTTGTGAGGTTCTTGACCTTCTGCATCTTGATGTTATAGCAATAATGGAAAAACAGAAGGTCAAATCCCCCATCTAGTAACGATTGAGTATGGAAAAGGCAACGATTGTATGATTAGAGTTAGGAGAACATTGTTTGATGGGGATGTCATAAAATGGTACCAAAATTTCCAATGTCATCGAAAGGGGGAAATCGAAGAGAACAACTTGGTTAAGGAAAAAGGATTATATTTCATTAGAGTTCTATGATTCAGAGTATCCATTCCTATTTGATCCCTTTGAATTCCATATTCGAAGTTGAAAATCTTGAGAGGGATTATCGTATGAGTCATAGAGAGTAGGAGTTCAGGGTTTTTAATAGGACTTAAGATTAGTGTAGATCCTAAATATTTGTAACTCCTCCTTAGAGGCATTCCCGAAAAAGTTTATTTTCGTTGATTTTGCGGCAAAGAGGGAAAGATTTTCAGAAGGGGATATGTCGAGACCAATGGAAACATGATTAGGTCAAAAATCAGGATCAAAGAGAGTTATGGAAATTATTAAATGGAATGAGGTCAGGAAAGGCGGAATAAACTGGACTAAGTGTTAGTTGGGCGAATTCAATCACACATTCAGGTTCATCAACTAGGCCTTCAGGATGTCTTACTAGGTAGGGCATAATAGACAACAGTATTAACCTTATAGAGGAAGTACATTGGTCATCATGCTGATCTATCATTTTGTTTACGGAGTCAGAGCTGCCAAAAAAAATCTAAAACAAATTGAAATTAGTTATGTAATTTGGAAGAACAAAAAAAAAGCGAGATATGATAATTAATAGATAAGTTTAGAAAAAATTAAATGCACTTACTCATTGTTGAACGAAGATTGTGGAGCTCGAGTGTGATTTCAGGAGTAAAGAAATTCAAGGGAAGCTTCCGGAGGCGGGTAAAGTTTGGAAGTTTGGAAGAAATAACACTGATGCAGAAAATTTTGGAGATAAAATTATAGTTGTATTTAAAGGGGATAGTGGGATAGTGGAAAGGTCTAAAATCTAAGGATCATAGGATGAGATTTGGTTTGATGGGAAGATCAACTTGAGTATTATTGAGGTAACAACAGAACACATTTTGCACCTTTTCGAGGCAGCTGATGGGAGGCATCTGATGGGATGATCGGGCATGACTTTTTTCGAAGTAAATGAATGGGATTCTAAACCCTAGGGTCATGTCATACTTTTAGACGACACTCAACTAATCTAGAGTTAGGGGGATACTTGATGATATAACTCACTATATCTACTCGGATTAAAAAAAAGGAAATCGATTTTTTCGAACAATGGAGAGGTCGAATTTTGGAGAAACAAAAATACCAAGCTCGAGCTAAGGTCCATGAATGAACAAACCATGCTCGAAGTGAAGGACACTCAACAAGGAGCTCGAGCTAGGGGCTATGTATGACCTAACCATGCTCGAGCTGGAAAAAAACTCGGTGAGAAGCTCGAACCAGTGCCAATAGATAATCTAATCATGCTCGTGCTCAATAGGTTTTTTCGGGAGAAAGAGTTGTATCGACCTGATGATGTTCTCAAACGACAATTTTTTTTTTTTTTTAAAGTTCCAAATCTGAAAGTTGCGACTTTAGAGAATCCGATCATATCAGCGTACTTTCTTTAATAAGGTATAGAATTTCACAATCATATCATGTTCGAATAATTAATTATGCACTCAAATTTTCAAATAAAAAGTAGTATGTGTTCAATTTTAGCTATTTTTGGTAGACAAAATTTCTAGCTTATATTTATTTGTTTAGCTTATAAGCTTCTTATATTTAAATAAGTTTCGGTTGGTAGGACGGTCTTATTTAAAAAGCTCGAGCTTATCTCATAAGATTCTTTGGATAACTTTTCAAATAAGCTCGATGAAGTTTTTATTTCAGCTATCTTATCTACTAATTTTACCAGAAACTCTTATCATATAAGCTAGCTTTTCAGCTATAAGTCATAAACAATAAATTCAAAAGATACTTATAACTATAAGCTAACTCATCAGCTATCATGTAATTTTTGCCAAACATAGCCAATTTATTTTGGCTTACAATGATGCTCGACATTTATGGATAAAAAGATCTATTTTAAAATAAATATATTATTTATTTCTTCCTACATTTTCTTTACAATTTTACTATCTATATTTTTTTAACGAGATAAGATATGTTGGAAAAATAAATTAAAATCTATTTGTAATGTGTTTAGCAACCTTGGAAATATTATGCTAAAGCATGATCCACTTAGTTGAGAGAACTATTAACATTAATATCCAGTGCCCCACAATGTGCAATATTCAGCCCCACCAACATAACCTTTTATCTTCTTTAAATTTAAATCCCCTCAATTGCATCCATTCTCCAAAGCGAAAAAAAAAAAA